ATTAGGACTCTGTACCTCCGACATTGGTGACTTATTGTCCACGACATTTTGATCTTGTTCGATGACATTTTTGACTACCATATCGGTGACCTACTCGGTCTTACTGGATTCTATCTCGGTGACATCTGGTGCTGCCTACATCTCCCACCTCTTTCGTCTCTCCTCCCACCTTTCATTTGTGTATGGTTGTACGGGGCCTGAGCATCGTCTATGATTGGCTCGGACCCCACCATCTCACGATTGCTTGTGTGTTGAGTGATATCTGTATGAGTTCAGTCTATGTGAGTCAGTCCATTTATCAGACTTCCGCTGCATACATGATCACCCAATATTGGTTGATCTTTGGTTCTGCTCATACTTGTTGAAGTATTCACTAGTATGCAATCAATGGATCTGCTCACTAGGTAATTCTGATTAGGAAATAGATTGCTAATTCGATTTTCCAAATCAGTTCTGCATCACTATCGAGATTCAAAGTTGCATTTTTTTTTTTTTCCGGTATTCTGTTTTAATTCGGCATTCCGTTTCAATTCGGTATTCTGATTTTCAATTCGGGATCCTGTTTTAATCCGGTATTCTGTTTAATTCGGTATTCGGTTTATCTGTTCTACCCATGTTCCCACACTCCCTACCCTCCCCGAAATCTGTGACCATCGAGACTTCTCAAGTATCACATCACGTTGTGCTGATGTCGACGGAATAGGACACTGGGGCACTGCCACGACGCAGTGCCAGGCTTGCAGTTCGTAACCACTTTGTTGTACCTCCACGAACTAAGTATCAGCAACAGCGACGCAGCAGGTGGACGACTCCAGCGGCATCGAGTACAGCAACTGCAGTACCGGTTACCACCGGGGCTCTTCCCGCATGTCCAGTCCAAGGGGTCCACGAGCCGTTGTCTGATTACCTTCACCGGGTACAGACATTTACGGATGCCGTCACTACCGCTAAGGCACAGCAGGAGGCAGCAGAGGCGGAACGTCAGCGGCTGGCCAATGAGGCGGCAGCCCAAGCTCAGCGGACTGCTGAGGCTGACGCAGCGGCTTGAGACAGACGGAATGCCGCCAGCACCGAGTCCCTGATTCAAAATGAGAATCAGTGGACAACACTACTCCAAGGCATGATCTTTGTGCCTACGGAAGCACAGGCGGATCTGACACCAGCGGAGGCAGAAAGGAGTAACCTGGCTAACTTGATGCTGGGCATGATGAGGGGAGTGATGTGGAATAACACAATGTTGCAGGTACACCTGCTCACGGACCGACAGCACAGACAGAAGCAGCAGCAAGATACTGCTACTTTAACAACTGTCGTCCGCGCCGCAGCAACACAGCAGCAGCAACAGCATCAGCTGTTGAACTCCACTCTCACACGCATCAACAGCATCGAGGCTTAGGCCTCAGCAATGCCAGGCTGCACGACAGACACGGCGAAGCAGCTCGGGGAGCGCATCGACCATGTCGTCACTATTATCGGCGAACTAGGTGATTTCACTAGTTCGGCCACGATCAACAGCACGGTGGCCGCCATCAAGACGGACATCACCAAACTGCAGACAAAACCGGACGCCGCTCCAAAGACATACAAGATGCCGCACTTCAACATCAACAAGTTTGACGACTACAACAAGACGGACGCCTTGACATGGTGGCAAAGCTTCCTCACTGAAGCATCCTGCCGCACTGTACCGGCCGAAGACATGATGAAAGCGCTCTACCTCCAACTTATTGGAGGAGCACAAGCATGGATGAACCATCTCGCGGCCAATCGGAAATGCACCATCGCCAAAATCCACACGCACATTTCATGGAAGGAGTTCGAGCAATTGTGGTTCACTCGATTCATGGTCCGCAATGTTGTAAAGGCGGCCATGAACGAGGTCTACACCAGCTCACAAGGAAGCATGCCAACTCGAGACTGGACGATCAAGTGGCAGAAGATAGTAACCACTCCAGGCTTCAACTTGAGCTTTCCAAACCAACGATCCGAATTCTTTTCGCGATCGTGCGCAGGACTGCGGTCGGCACTCAGCAACGAGTACGACTATGCCTCATTCCAGGCTATTATGGATCGTGCGAACCTAGTCATCCAAACGGATGACAAGGCCGCTAACGAACGGCAGTCCCAGCAGCACTATGTGGCTAAGCAGGGCTATCAACGACAGACACATAACAATGTCGTGATTCCTGACGAATCAATCGATCTCCACGCTGCAGCAACATCCTCGAGTGATGGAGGAGTTGTCGCAGCACTCCCGCCGAAGCGTCCCAAGAGAGTTCGGAAGAACAAGGCGACACAAGCGATGACATCGACGGGAACTGGGCAGCAACCATGGACGGCAAACAACATAACCAAGGAAGTATTTGACCTGCGTCAACGGTACGGATATTGCCTATGGTGCAATAGTGTAAACCACACTACCGCACAATGCTCGGACAAGGGCAAGGCACACATACCCCGTCCAGCTTACTCGGGAAACTGAGTTATGCAAGGAGAGGGGCGACGCCTCTCCTCACTCCGCCGGAACTGGTTGCCTTGCTAGCAACCGATATCACTACCGGGGAGCATGCGTTAGTCGCTGATTCTCGTGCTACGTACAAGGATTATGTCGCCCTGCTGGTACCACCATTAGACCAGCCTAGCCACATGCACTTAGATAGTGTATGCGCAGCCTGTACACCGTCGGCAAGTGAACCGGTCAGTTCGCCACTGATTTCCAAGGACTCGACGGCGTGGTGAAGACTTGAGGAGCTTGACCCGCTCACGAGAAAGGACTTCGCTTGGATGCCTCTACCCTCAACCGGAACCTTGCGAAGGCCGCATTGTAACACCTTGATGGCAAATCTACGCTCCTATTTGCACGCTGCAATACCAACTCTGTTGACGGATGACGGAGTAGCGGTTGTCGATCTCCGCTCCTATCTTGCGAAGATTGACCACGAGTATGCCACCCAAAGGTACGCCGAGACCGACRCGCCTTTGCTCTATATCCGCATTCAAATCGGAAAGGCAACGTGCAGTGCCTTGATTGATTGTGGAGCATCTTGCAATTTCATGAGTCGAGCCTTTATGGCCCGCGCGTTCGAAGGAAGACGCAACCTTCGCAAGTGACACTCGCGGACGACCGCACGCAAAAGTCGATTAACCGATGCATTGACGGCGTCCCGATATACTTTGCGCCCCTTGCATGCGAGCCGGTGTCTTTTGACATCCTCGACACCAAGTTTAACATGATTCTAGGCATGTCTTGGTTGCGTAGCGCCGATCATCCGGTGAACTTTCATGACCGAATCGTTCACATCCGTGACCGGAACAGAGTGTTAGTCCCATGTACGGTCGCGACCCCTCATACTTCGATTGCTTGTCACGTGGTTTCCGTTGCGAGAATTCACAATGCTATAGCTCAGAACGACGTAGAGGAGATGTGTCTTATGTTTTTACATGCTCTCCCCTCGCCTGACGGACCAGCCGCCTCACCGCCGGACCCACGCATTACTCACCTCTTGGGCGGGTCGGGAGACGTCTTCAAGGCTCCCACCGGAACGGTTCCGGATCGGCCCATACGTCACGGGATCACTCTCGAGGCTGGTGCCGTCCCTCCGCGTGGATGCTTTTACCGCATGAGCGAAGAGGAACTCGAGGTGCTTCACGCACAACTTGATAACCTTCTCGACAAGGGCTGGATTCGCCCTAGTTGTTCGCCATACGGTGCGCCAGTTCTCTTCGTCCGGAAGAAGAACAAGGACCTACGGTTGTGCATTGACTATCGAAAATTTAACGTACAAACCGTTAAGAACACCGACCCTCTCCCTCGGATTGATGATCTCCTCGAGCGGCTGGGCGGCGCGACGTACTTCTCGAAGTTGGACTTGAAGTCGGGTTACCACCAGATTGAAATCCAGCCTCAAGATCGGTACAAGACCGCCTTCAAAATGCAGTATGGGCATTTTGAGTGGGTTGTGATGCCTTTTGGACTCACCAATGCCCCAGCAACCTTCAAAGCAGCCATGACAACGAAGTTCCGAGACTTGCTCGATCGTTTCGTCCTCATCTACCTCGATGATATCTTGGTCTATAGTAGGACGCTTGACGAGCTCCTCGTACACCTTCGTGAGGTGTTGGATCGTTTGCGAGCAGCCAAGTACAAAACAAATCGCGACAAGTGGAAATTCGCCAAGCAAGAGCTTGAGTACTTAGGCCATTATGTGACGCCGAAAGACATTTGTCCCTTAGCGGACAAGATCCAAGCCATCGTGGATTGGTCGGAACCCCGTTGCACGACGGACATACGCTCTTTCATGGGTTTGGCCGGATATTATCAGCGCTTCGTCGAATCTTACTCCAAAGCGGCAACTCCTTTGTCGAGACTTCAGTCCCTGAAGGTACCATTCAAGTTCGACGACGCAGCTCGTGGCGCGTTCAATATGTTGAAGGCGGCGATGAAAGACGCACTGGCCCTCCGTATCTATGATCCCACCCTACCCACCCAAGTGACTACGGATGCTTCTGGGTACGGTATTCGTGCGGTATTGGAACAATGCCACACGGATGGTTTGCACCTGGTCGAGTACTTCTCCCAAAAAGTGCCTCCCATCAACACTCTCCACGACGCTAGGAAGAAAGAGTTACTCTCGTTCGTCACCGTTCTCAAACGGTGACGCCACTTTCTTCTTGGTCGTCGGCATTTTAGATGGAACACGGACAACAATCCGTTGACCTTCTACAAAACGCAGGACATGGTCACTAGCACGATCGGTCGATGGATATATTACATCGACCAGTTCGACTTTGAGCCGTGCCACATTCCCGGTCCCGCCAATCGAGCAGCGAACGCCCTCTCACGACGGCCCGATCTTTGTGCCCTTGTGACCACGACGTTCGACCTCGACAATGATCTGCAGCAGCATTTCGTCAACGGCTACAAGTCCAATCCGGCGTACTCTACGCTTTATGCGGACCTATCATCGGATCACCCGCCCGCTGGTCATTATCGTATCTCCGACGGTTTCCTACTTCTCCACACAAGAGGGAAGGACTTGTTAGTGGTGCCCCAAGATCGCATCTTACGGACTCGTCTTCTCGGCGAATTCCACGACGCACGACTTTCGGCACATCTTGGCGTGAACCGCACATTGGCTCGCCTCCGCCAGCATTTCACTAGCCCGACGTTCTTCACGACGTCACGAGGTATATTGAGTCATGTGTAGTTTGCCATCGTAACAAAGGTCGATCTACGGTCCCTTATGGCGAACTGAAACCGATGCTGATTCCTCAGGCACCACGCCTGTCCATTGCGATGGATATTACAGGCCCGTTCCCCCACGATCGCCTCGGTCATGACGACATTCTCACGGTCGTTGACCGTTTGAGCAAGTACGCTCGTTTTCTTCCATGCAAGTATCGCGCTATAGCTCCCGAGCTCGCTCGACTCTTGCACACCGGCTGGATTACCGCCCATGGTGTTCCGGAAGATATTGTGAAAGACAAAGACACTCGCTTCATGTCTACATTTTGGACTTCCCTCATGACGGAGTCCGGTTCGACTATGAAGCCGAGTTTCGCACGGCACCCGCAGACGGATGAACAGTTGGAAAGAGCGCATCAAACCGCTCAAATGAGGTTACGTACACTCATCCGTCCTGACCAGAAAGATTGGGTTGACCGGCTTCCCGACATCGATTTCGCGTATAACACTTCGGTGCACCCGGCGATCTGCATCACTGCATTCGAGTTGCATCACGGTGGAGAAAGCCCGAGTCTTTGCCGATCTTCTTCTACCACGGGGCGCCGACATAGACGTCGCTTGCTCTCCCGCTTCCGTTCGGAAGTATCAGGACTTGCTGATCAAAGCCTGCGCAAACATGCAAAAGGCTCAAGTCCGCATGCAGCAGCAAGCTAACCGACGTCGACTCCCATGTCCTTTCCGCGAGGGAGACCTTGTTTGGGTCCTCGCTGACGAATTCGCGCTTGAGCAGGACGTCTCGAGCAAACTCCTCCCAAAATAGTTTGGACCATGGAAGGTAACTTCTGCAGCAGGCGACAACCCTGCAGGTCCTTCCTTTGTGATTGCCATCCCCCCACACCTCCGTGTGCACCCGGTCTTCCATGCATTGAATCTGGCCATCGACACGCCACCTTCCGAGGATGAGTTCCCGGGCCGACGATCACAAGATCCTCCTTCTATGGACGGGCACCAGGAAGTTGACCGCGTCATCAGGCACCGCAAGTTTGCCAACAAGCCAATGCAGTACCAAGTCACTTTCAAGCAATGTGACCCCGATGACACTCGTTGGATCTCCCGTGCAGACTTACGGGCATCTGCACCACCCATCTTCTCCGACTACGAGAACCGGAGACTTGCCTGGTATCCGACAGACAACTTCGCCCTCGCAGGTAGCTCGGTCTTTTAAGGGGGGGAGTGTGTTACAGTCTGCGACTTCACACGGGCCTCCACACGCCCGACATACCGGTTCAGGGGAACCCAGGCCGACCTAGCCAAAGGCCAGGCCTTTTTCCTCCCGGTAGGCCCTATTAGGCCACCGGTTGGACCTCGGTATCAGCAGACCCAGGTCTGGCCCAAACGATAAACCGTTTGGGCCTGGCTGCGCTCTTGAGGCTGTCGCCCGTCGGTCTGGGCTGAACGTCTATTTTCGACGGTTCAGCCCACGGCGCAGGAGGCCAGCATTGAGGCCGACCGGCCGCCGGACGGTACTTAGGCCGGTCCAGCGGCCATTTCTGCGGGTTGGAACGAGGGAGCAGAGAGAGGCAGCGCTGCGCTATTTCAGTTTAGCGCAGCACCAGGAGCAGCAGCGCTAGGTTAGCGCTAGGCTGCAGTTGGGGATAAAGAGGGAGTGAGGTACTTACCTGGTACTTACCTCTGGCGCCATAGCTTCAGCGGGGCTCGACTACAGAAGGCTTCAAGGCGCCATCTTGCGTCCTGCAGGTAAGGCTTAGGACAGGACAGGGCAGTGAGGATTCCCCTCCTCCCTACCTCGCCATCTCGCCCTCCTCCTCCGCTATCTCCATCCTC